GTATATATTTAAATGAATTATTATTATTAATTAAATGTTAATATATTATTATATATTAATTGATCTTAATAATAATAATAATTAATTAATTGAAATACCATAAAGGGTGTATTTGGTTGCAAGGGTGAATTAGGGTTGGAGCCCATGGCTATTCTTAAGTGGAATAGGGTTTTAATTGTTGCATTATATAAGTGCAACTTAAAATTAAAACATGAGAGAATTATGCATTCAATTAAAACCCTAGCCACCCTATCTCTCTCTCTCTCTCTCTCAAGAAGAAAACTTTTCTTGTTCTTCTTTCTTGATTCTTGAAGCCCTTGATTGTTCTAGCAAAATAATCAAGGGTTCTACGGATTATCTTCGTGTTGACTTCCGTGAGTGCGATCCTACTTTGGATCGATTAGCGAAAAATCATGTGAACAGTAGACAGTGAATAGTGTTCCTGTCCGAAATTAGAGATATTATAAGGAGCCTCCAAACGTATGTAAGTATTCTAATCCTTGAATGGATTTACTTTATACAGATTTTTGTTTATAAACATGTAAACGGTATAATCTATACTCGAATCTAGGCAAAAATAGGTAATTGATTTACCGATTGAATTTTTTGTTTTCCGCTGTGTATGGTAGATCAATTACTTACATATGCTCCAATTCCAAAGCAAGTGGCATGCTTTACCAAACACAAGACGATATGGGGACATTCCAATTAGTGTTTTAAATGCCGCCCGGTATGCCCACAATGCATCATTTAACTTCCATGGCCAATCTTTCCTCGATGCATTTACCGTCTTCTTTAGAATTTTCTTCAATTCCCAATTTGACAATTCAACTTGTCCACTCGTTTGAGGATGGTATGGCGTAGCCACCCGATGTGTCACCTCATATTTTCCAATAGAGCTTCAAATTGTCGGTTGAAAAAGTGCGTCCCTCCATCACTTATAATAGCCTGTGGTACTCCAAATCAAGAAGATATTCTTCCTAACAAAGCTTACCACTACTTTAGCATTATTGGAAGGTAATGCAACTGCTTCTACCTACTTTGACACGTAGTCCACCACAACCAAAATGTAGGTGTTCCCGAATGAATTTGGGAAAGGTCCCATGAAGTCAATCCCCTAAACATCAAAAAGTTCCACAACCAAAATATTGTTCAAGGGCATTTCATTCCTCCTTGAGATATTCCCACTTCTTTGACATTGGTCACACTGTTGAGCAAATCTAAAGGCATCCTTGAATAGATTTGGCCAATAGAATCCAGATTGAAGGACATTAGTTCTAGTTCTTGTTCCTCTAAAGTGACCACCAACTTCCTTTTCATGACAATGCCGCCATATGCTCTTCATTTCTTCTTCCAGCACACACTTGCGTATCATCTGATCCGCACAATGCTTATACAGAAAATGTTCCTCCCAAAAAAAGAACTTCAAATCAGAAAAGAACTTCTTCTTTTGTTGGAAATTCATATCCATCAGAAGCACTTGAGATGACAAGTAGTTTGCAATATTAGCATACCATGGTGCTTCTTCAATTTTCATCAATTGTTCATCCGGAAATGTGTCTTGAATTTGGACCTCTTTCTCATCCTCCTTTTCAAGTTGCTCAAGTCTTGACAAGTGATCTACCAGCACATTCACCGACCTTTTTATCCCAGATTTCCAAATCAAATTCTTGAAGCAGTAGAATCCATCGGATAAGTTTCGGTTTTACTTCTTGCTTTGCCAAAAGATGCTTGAACGCTGAATGATCCGTGTAGACAATGACCTTGGCACCTAGCAAATAAGAGCAAAATTTGTCAAATGCATAAACAACTGCCAAAAGCTCTTTTTCAGTGGTAGTGTAATTCAATTGTGCATCAGTCAATGTTCTACCAGCATACTATATCACATGCAAAACTTTATTCTTTCTTTGCCCAAAGACTACCCCTATCGCATAATCACTAGCATCACACATTAATTCAAATGGAAGTTCCCAATTGGGAACCGCAATTGCTTAAGAGTCTGAAAAGCATGCATGCAATCATCATTAAAATCGAATGGTGCATCTTTAAGTAACAAATTGAAAAGGGGTTTAGAAATCTTAGAGAAATCCTTGATGAATCTTCTGTAGAACCCCACATGTCCCAAGAAACTCTGGATATATTTGACATTTTTTGGAGGTAGCAACTTTTCAATCACTTCAGTTTTGGCTCAATCCACTTCAATTCCCTTCCTTGAAATCCGATGTCCAAGAACTATGCCCTCTTAAACCATAAAATGACACTTTTTCTAGTTTAACTCTAAGTTAGTGTCTTGACATCTCTGCAAAACAAGAGAAAGGGTAGAAAGACAATCATCATAAAAAGAGCCAAAAATAGAGAAATTGTCCATGAACACTTCAAGAAACCGTTCCACCATATCACTAAATATGGACAGCATGCATCGGTGAAAGGTGCCCTGTGCATTACACAACCCAAAGGGCATCCTCCTATACACAAATGTACCATATGGACAAGTGAACGTCGTCTTTTCTTGGTCTTCAAGAGCAATGGGAATCCGTTATACCCTGAGTAGCCATCTAGGAAATAGTGATAGGCACGTCCCACTAGTCTTTCCAATATCTAATCAATGAATGGTAGTTGAAAATGATCTTTCCTTGTTGCTTCATTCAGTTTCCTATAATCAATACACACCCTCCAGCCCATGACTGTCCTGGCCGGGATCAATTCATTGCTCTCATTTTTTATCACCATGATGCCCTATTTCTTTGGAACCACTTATACAGGACTCAACCAAGGACTATCTGAAACAGGATAGATGATTCTCGCATCTAAGAGTTTTACCACCTCTTTTCATACTACTTCCTTCATAGAAGGGTTCAATCGTCATTGTGGTTGCACTCTTGGCTTGATATTATCTTCCATAAGGATTTTGTGCATGCAAAAGATGGAGAAATGCTATTTATATCTGAAATGGTCCCTCCAATTGCAGACCTGTGCTCTTTCAACACTCGAATCAATTTCTCTTCCTCCAAATTACTTAAGTTTGCATTGATAATCACTGGGAAATAATCAGATTCACCAAGATACATACACTTGAGATGAGATAGTAAGGGCTTCAATTCAAGCTTGGGAGGTTCTTCTAACTTTGCCTTGTCCTTCTCCTTACTCATGTATTAGTCTTCAAATTTTGGATCCTGGATGGTGCTCATCGGTTGAAGTGCTTCCAAATACCTAACATACTCATTCTTCCTTGGCTCATCTTCCTTGGTAGTTTTGGATTAGGAAATGCATGCTTCAAGAGGTAGTTGAGGATTGATCTCTTCAAATGTGTCTTTTGCTACTCTATCAACCATATCAACCCCGAAACATGACTCTACTTTCGATGGAAATTTTATGGCATCAAACACATTAAAAGTTACCATTTCATCTTGGACCCTCAAAATTAATTTTTCTTCTTGTACATCAATTAAAATTCTTCTCGTAGCAAGGAATAATCTTCCCAAAATGAGCAATAACTCTTTGTCTTTCTCCATATCCAATACAACAAAATCTACAGGAAATATGAATTCATCCACCTTGACCAACACATCTTCAATAATACCCCGTGGATGTTTGATTGATCGATCAGCAAGCCACAAGGACACCATTGTAGGCTTCACTTCACCGATCCCTAATTTCCTAAAAACAGAAAAAGGCATTAGATTTATGCTGGCACTTAAGTCACGCAAAACTCTATCAAATGTAACACCTCCTACAACATAAGGGATAGTGAAACTCCCTAGATCTTTGAGAGTTGGTGGTAACTTCTTCTGTAAAATGGCGCTGCATTCCTCTGTAAGCATCATTGTTTCTTCCTCTTCCAGATTCCTCCTGTTTGAAATAATTTCCTTCAAGAACTTAACATAACTTGGCATTTGCTACAATGCATCTACAAAAGGAATGTTAACATGCAGTTTTTTGAAAACATCAAGAAATTTAATAAACTATTTATCCTGATTTTGCTTCCTTAATCTCTGAGGGAAAGGAACTAGAGGAGTGTGATTTGCCAACTCTTGTGGTATTTTAGGAAATGGCAATTTTTCCTTCCTTGTCTTCGATATCTTCTCCTTCTTTGGATATTCTTTTCTTGGACTTGTTAGCTTCTCTTCAACAATGATCTCTTCATCGACTTCTTCCTCAAATTCTTTCTTTTTCTCTAGTGGGTTCTCATCCTTCCCTTTTGGTTCAACTTCTTCTAAGACTGTTCCACTTCTTAAAGTTATGGCATTTGCTTTTTCACATGGATTTGTCATCATGTTACTTGGTAAGGAGCCTTGAGCACTCTCATTCAGTTTTTCCGAAATTTGACCCAATTGCACCTCCAAGTTTCGAATAGACGCTCATTGATTTTTGAAATTTGACTGCATCTCATTCATAAAACCTGTGGTTTCTTGCATGAATTTCCCAAACATATCCTCCAATTTTGACACTTTCTATTCAAGTGGTTAAAAATTTACCCCTGGTTGATGGTTTGGCACTGTCCTTTGATTTAATTGATTGTTTTGATTGCCCCAAGACAAGTTTGGGTGATTTCTCAAACCAGGATTGTAGGTGTTGAGAATGGACTATTCTGTTGTCTCTGATTCCCAGCCAAATAGTTTACTTGCTCTAATGATGAGGAGGATGAGGCAAAGGTGTTCCCTACTTGGCAGTCAATACTTGCATGGTTACGTGCACAAAAATCACATGTTACATATGGTGTTTGAATAGAATTAACATGCATACCTCCTATTTGTTTTTGAAGTGTGGCAACTTGGGTTGAAATGGCTATGTAAGCACCAACTTCATGAATACCCATGGACTTCTTCGGCACTAATCTCTCATCCGACCTTTGGTAGTTGTTACTTGTTAAAACTTCAAGTAACTCTTGAGCTTCCACCAGTGTCTTGTTCTGTGAAGCTCCCCCAGCTACTGCATTTACCATTGTTCAAACATTTGGTTTCAAACCCAAATAGAACGTTTGGACTTGCATCCAAACAGGCAAACAATGGTGTGGACACTTCCTAAAACATTTCCTTGTATCTCTCTCATGCTTCATATAATTATTCATGGTTGCTTTGTACAAACGAGGTAATGTCATTTCTCATCTTTGTCGAAAGAGCTGGTGAGTAATACTTGTAGAGAAACTTTTGTGCTAGATCATTCCATGTTGTGATAGTTCCAGCAGGTAATGAAATTAGCCATTCTTTTGCCTTTTCTCTCAATGAGAATGGAAACAGTCGCAACCTAATAGCATCGTCTATCACCCCGTTGTGCATGAATGTGTCACAGATTTCCAAGAAGTTGGCTATTTGCAAATTAGGATCATCTTTTAGATCACCCCCAAACTATATTGATTGTTGAATCATCTGGATTATAGCCAGATTTATCTCAAAGTTATTCACCTCAACAGACGGTCTTATTATGCTCAGACTACACCCATCAACTTGTGGAAGTGAAAACTCCCTCAAGGTTCTATTTTTAGCCATCTCAATGATTCTCTCCTCTCTTTCTCTTCTCTCTTTGATGAGTCTTCTTGCGGTTCTTTCAATCTTTGGATCAATAGGAAACACAGGAAGATTTCTTGCTTTTCGTATAAACTACAAAGGAAACAAAAAGAGTGTGAGATCACAAGCAAACAAAAATTAAACTAAAATAAGTAAAATTGAAAATTAAACTTCAATTTTGCAAAAACTAGAAAACTTCAATATTAACACAAAATCAATCCCCAGCAACGGCACCAAAAACTTGATACGTGGTTATTTCATATGCATATTTAGCAAGTGCACTAGTCATAAAAAGTAATAAAGTGATGAAGTAAAGTATCGTTCCCACGAGGATTGCGTGGTAAGTACCGATTTTCCAAATTTTATAACTAATTGAAGAATACAAAAATGTTGGATTTGCGAGAGCTACTAAAAACTAAATTAAAACAAAATATAAGATACAACTAAAATTAACACAACAACAGTAATTCAACAACGAAATTCAAATCAAGAGGAGAGGTTAGGGTTTCGATTTCACAAAGTTACTCCAATTCAACCTAATAATCCTATTATCCTCAAATTCACATGCAAAGATTACAAATCGAACTCCCTGGATTGTAAAATATACCTTCTCAAGCTATAATTCACTACTTATACCTATTAAACTTCCGCACCCAACAAATTGAAATTCAATAGTTCAAAGTCCCTTACGCAAGTGGAATCCTATAAAGATTTCATAGATCGCATTTGTTTATCTCTAGTTTTCGCTCAATCTATGGTGTTTATCTCAAGAAGTTAACACATGAATCACTTCTCAATCTCATCATGTTCAACATTCATTTAAATCAAAAACCCAACAATCAAATGCATTAAGAACAAAGATAAACACTTAATCCATGCAATAGAACCCCAAAACAAAAAGATATTATAGATTAAATCATTGTAAACTAAGATCCATCAAAACCCTAATCCAAAAACGAGTTAGTTCATGTTCAAAATGGAAATAAATAGCAAATACATAAAAAGATCAGAGTTCAACATCATAAAAGAAGAAAGGGAAAAGAAAACTTCTTTAATTTGGAGACCTAAATTCTTCCAATCTTTTTCTCCTCTCCCTATTTCCTAAAATGTCGACCTCTCTTTAAAAAATGGGCTAACTTTTCTTTAAATAGTAGCCAAAAACCACCCTAGGATTAAAACACTATAAAAGGAAAACGCATCATTTTAAAAAAATATAAAATTGCAGTTTTCGTTGTGGCATTGACTTGAGTTGATCTACTCCGTGATTCCAGAGGCTAGCTTGCCATGATAAACTTCCTATCTTCTTTTTGAATTTATGAAACTTCCCTCCGCTTGCTTCTTCACTTGAATCTTTGAACTTTTTGATCTCCAATAGGAACAAACTCTGAGGGTGCTTCCAATCAGCATCAGAATTTCCCCGATCTTTAAAATTGCGCTCGATTTCAGATCCAGAAACTCATTTTCGCTCTGTTTTTCTCTAACTGCACATTTTGGCCTGAAACATAAAATATGCAGAATTAAGTAAAAATTCAAGCACAAAACTCATAAGAAGTATCTGAAAATCCTACAAAAAATCATATAGAAAATAGTATAATCCAAGGATTATCAGCCTGCCACTGCTTGGCGGAGCCTTCCTTCTTATTCTTTAGCGCCTAGGCTTCTTGGTTCTTTAGATCGGTGTTGGACTTAGTCAACTCCTGAATTCATGCATCTTGAGCAACCGTGAATTTCTTCAAATAAAGGCTCCCGCTCAAAGCCTACATGAAAGCATGCAATTAAGCTTCATAACTTAACAAAAAAGTTAGAAATTAAGAGTTACCAGAAGTTGCTGAGTCATTGCCCACTCAGCCGCGACGGTCATCCCTATCTGATTCAGTTAGGTCTTTTCAGTAGGAAGCAAAAATGATTTGGCCAGATGACCCATCCCAGCTGCGTCGGAATAGACCGAGGCCGTGTTGGGGAAAGTGATCGTCACCTTCTTGTCCTCATCAAATTGGACCTCCTTTGATGAGCTAGCTTCAACCGATGATTGTCCAATTGGAGGAGTCGACTAGGTTTGTTGGGCTTGGACTCTCTTCGGGACTGACTCCCTTTTTCTCTTGGCTCTACGCTGTGTGGCCACCTCACTTGCACTCGGTATGTCCACGTTGAGATTCCTCATTAGCCTCTCTACAATGGCAAACTTTTCATGTGTTAGTTTATGAAGAAACTAATGCCCTAATAGTATGTGCTTGTTGTAGCGAATCAACAGCATGTGCCACACTTGCTTTGATGAGGAGAATGGGATACCTCTTTGAACATCCTCAAATCCGGCCCACAAGTGACTCGTTCTCAAGTTAGATTCCTTCAAGATCACTCTCCAGTCTCTCTACTCTTTTGGAATGGCAAGAACTTCCCTCGTTGTCATGTCTAAACCGTCTCTGCTCTGTCCGGCTTGGTTGAAGTCGGGATCTGCAAGAGAAAGGGAGAATAAGACTAAGTAATCACAAGTATAGATAAGAATCAATCTTTCCCCTGTGGCTCTCCATGTGTCTCGTCGAATATGGCCTCGCCCCTCATAAAGAAGAACTGCTCCTTCCAGTTCTGGTCACTCAACCTAAGGTTGGTCACTAGGTGGATGCGATCGTGTCTTAGGGTGATGACGTATCTACCTTACTCTCGGTCGTTCTCCTTCAAATAATAAGAGTGTAGTAACTCGTGCAAACCAAACATCACTCGATTCTGAGCGCACATCACCTCCAAGCACAGTAACACTCTCCCCTTGTTCAGCATTATTTGTGCTAGTGCGATCATGAAGTGATTCAATGCCTTCCAAACAAGTCGAGGTATAAGAAGACGTAAACCATCGTGAAACCACAACTCGTACATACTCACCCATCCTTTTGCCTTCTAGTCGACCCTTTTGTAGCTCTTTGGTATTTGATCTCAATAGAGCTAGGAATGTGGTACTGCATCTGAATCTGCCACTCATCATTCTCCTTGAATAGATGCAGGTAATCAGTGCCTAAAATTCCGCTACCCAATCAGCTCGGCTCCTTTACCAACCCACCACTAGTCAAAACATCACTTTCAGAGCTATTGCACTTGTCGTCCATTTCTTCCCTACTCGTCCCTCGCCTCTTGGATTTGTCACTACCCAAATCAACAGTACCACTCTACTGGAAGATAGCCACGTTTAACCCCTTGGGAATTCCCACTGGCACATTGCCCTCTTCTAGCAATACCACCATAATGGGAGCACGCTCGTACTCGCACACCCCCCCCCCCCCCCCCCCCCCCCCCCCCCCCCCCCCCCCCCCCCCCCCCCCCCCCCCCCCCCCCCCCCCCCGCATCCATATCCATATGACTCTCTTCGCTTTACTCGAAGTACAACATCAAGGTAAACCTTCACAACGACTCTCACTACACTCGACTCGGTCTGGTGGACCAACTGGATGACCAAGGCAACCCGAACTTCAACTAGCCCCTTTACACCAAACTAACACTTCACTCGACTCAAACAGGAACACCGAGACAAGTCAAATGGTTGCCCTAAGTAAGTCAAACTTGTCTTCCTTCACTCGACAAACCCAAAAAAACCTAGAATTTCCAAATAAACTCTAGTTTTCTAGTTTCACCAAAAACACTAGATTCGCCTAGAAAAAGCCTAAGGACTACTAATACTCTCGTTTACTTAACACAATCACTCCCAAAGCTATTCAGACTCAATTTCTCATGAAAAAAACAAGAAAACCAGTGAAAAACGCAAGAAATTCAACTCCCTCAAAACCTCTCCAAAAAACTATAGCCTAAAACACACTGAAAGTGTTCTAAAAATGCGAAGAACGCGAAAAACAATAAAAAAGTTGAGTTTTGTAAAAGATTTGAGTTTTTACCGTGAATGACAGTGAAGATTGTGTGTACACCGCCATTGCAACTAGAGAGGGTTTTTGAAAGGAAACAAAGAAGCCAAAAGACGAGAAGGAAGATGTACAGTCACCTTGAAGAGTTTTATCCTCTTCTACTCATCCTGTCTATCAAAGGGGGCACGCAGCAGCTGGCGATTGGGTGTGACCATTCAACTTCCTGCTCAAAACGAAGAAGAAATCCCTGTCATACACATGTCGTGTGATAGGCTCACCTCGGGATTTGTGACTTTCCATTTCCCGCTCAAAGTCTACAAAACCCTATAATACATGCGTCTTATTCTCCTAGCACCACCAAATCACACTTGAACAGAATTTGCCTCGCTCGAGCAAGCTGACTCGAGCTCCAATCCTCGAAGTGATGAAAATCTTCCTCTCAAAGTTCGTAAGCAAACCACATAAGCACTCAGCTTGGATGGCTAAGTGAGTACATCTAAAAAGGACTGCGCCTCACATCCTATCACTTGATTCAGTTAGCCGAGTAGGCACAACTACAAAAGGATTGGGCCTCACATCCTATCACTTGGCTAAGTCAACTGAGTGGGTTTAGCTACAAAAGGGTGCACTTCGTATCCCATCACTTGTGTTGTTCGACCAAGTGAGGACATCTATAGAGGCATTTTGCATTATTCGTCATGACATGATACCCTCATTCAGTCAAGGGAATGCTCGCACAGCCCGGTATACTGTCGCCCAGCC